TAACCATATGATTGGCTTGCCATCACTTTTCTCTACCTATCATTTATCTTCTGGTAAAGACAAAGTGTCTATTGCTGATGGATCCCTTGTTCCTATTTCTAGCAAAGGAGACATCAAGTTGTTTGATGCCATTTCCCTATCCTCCGTCCTGCATGTTCCTAAGCTTAATATTAACTTGCTCTCAGTTAATAGCATTACAAAAAAACAGAATTGTTCAGTAACCTTTTTTCCGGATTGATGTGTTTTTCAGGATCTGGAGACAAGGAAGGTGATTGGGACTGGCCGTGAGACAAATGGAATTTACCTACTTGGAGGAACTGCTCATCAGGAAGATAGTGAAACTAAGAAATCCTTTGTTTCTTAGTCTGTTGATCAGGTGATGCTTTGGCATAATAGGATGGGTCATTTATCCTTTCAGGCTTTGAAGAGTTTGTTTCCTAGTTTATTTGAATCTGTTCAGATGTCTAGTTTGAAGTGTGAAAGTTGTGAACTTGCAAAACATTGCAGGACAACCTATTCATTAAGTAATAACAGAAGCAATATTCCTTTTGAAATTGTGCATACTGATGGTTGGGGACCTTATCATACCATAGCCATGGGGGGTACGGATATTTCCTATTATTTGTTGATGATTATACTCGGTTTTCTTGGGTTTACCTTATGCGTTCTTGAGATGAGGTTCCTGCATTAACCCAAATCTTTCATCAAATGATTTTAACCCAATTTGGGGTTAAAATTAAAATTTTTAGATCCGATAATGCAAAGGAATATTTTGCAAACTCATTAGCCTCTTACATGCTTGATCATGGGATTATCCATCAGAGTACCTGCCCACATACACCACAGCAGAATGGGGTTGCTGAAAGAAAGAATAGACACACATTGAAGGTAGCCAGAGGCATTATGTTTACCTTAAATGTGCCTATATGTTTCTGGGGGGATGCTATTCTTACAACGGTTTATCTCATCAATCGGATTCCCTCACGGGTTCTTGACATGAAACCTCCATTTACCCTTTTATACCCTAATAAAGAATTGTTTACCATTCCACTCAAAACCTTTGGGTGCACTTGCTTCGTTCAAATCCTTGGCCCTCATCGTTCCAAATTTGATTCTAAGTTCTCCAAATGTATTTTTCTTAGTTATGCCCAAACTCAAAAGGGATATTATTGTTATGAACCCACTTCTGGAAAAAGATGTCTCAATGGATGTCATCTTCTTTGAGGATAAACCTTATTATCCAAGGGTTTCTCCTCAGGGGGAGAATAGTGAGTCTGGGAGCAGCTCATTTCCTTTACCAATCCCATTAAGTGAAGAAGGGTGTAATGGGGAAGGTTGTCAAAGGTGTAGGGATGTGAGAGTCTATCACAAACGATGGAGACAGGTTGACTTCGGACATCAGCGGTGCAGGCCAGTCCCAGTCCCCTCTGCAGATCCAGATCTCGGTACCACAGTAGCCCTAGTTCCTTCTGCAGATCCGGATCCAGTTACCATAGATACTACAAATGAGAGACATCCCACCATGGAGCCTTCACCTTCATTAGATGATCTTGACCTTCCCACAATAGTTCGTAAGGGCAAGTGCCGTTGCACCACATCCACAACTCACAACATTTCTCAGTTCTTGTCCTATGATCATCTGTCTCCCTCCTATAAGCCTTTTCTCGCATCCATTGCTGATATTCCCATTCCCAGAACAATACAGGAGACATTGGAAATACCAAAATGGAAATGCAATAAAAGTAGAAATGGATGCCCTCATTAGAAACACTACCTGGAAGATAGTTGATTAGCCTAAAAGAAAGAAACCAGTTGGATGTAGATGGGTATTCACTGTGAAACATAATGTTGATGGTTCTGTTGAAAGGTATAAGGCCCGGCTAGTTGCAAAAGGATTACTCAGACATATGGTATTGACTACTTAGAAACTTTTACACCAGTAGCAAAGATGACCACTATTAGAGTCCTATTATCTTTTGCAGCTAGTTATTCTTGGCCGTTGTATCAGATGGATGTTAAAAACGCCTTTCTCAATGGAGACTTGCAGGAAGAAGTTTACATGCAGTTGCCTCCTGGATTTTATGGTACGGAGACAGAAAAAAAGGTTTGCCGGTTGAACAAAGCTTTATATGGACTAAAACAGTCCCCCAGAGCTTGGTTTAATAGATTTAGACGAGCCCTTGATAGGTTCGGATATGTGCAGCCCCAGTCAGACCACACCTTGTTTATTAAGAGAATGGATTCTTCCGTAACTTTGCTTGCTGTGTATGTGAACGATATTGTAGTAACAGGGAGTGATACTAGTGAAATTGAGTCTCTTAAGCAACTTCTTCATCAAGAGTTTGAGGTGAAAGATCTGGGGGAACTACGATACTTCTTGGGCATTGAGGTAGCTAGATCCAAGCATGGGATTTTTGTCTCTCAATGAAAGTATGCCCTTGATCTACTAGAAGAAGCAGGAGAGTTGGGAGTTAAGCCTGCGGACACACCTATTGAACAGAACCACAAGATTAGTGCAGAGGGTGGAGAGCCTCTTGAAGATAAAGCTATGTTCCAACGGTTAGTTGGAAAACTTCTTTATCTTTGCCTCACACGACCTGACATCAGTTATCCAGTCAGTGTAGTAAGTTAGTATATGCACTCTCCTAGAACTACTCACCTCCTTGCGGTTGAGAAGATATTAGCATATTTGAAGAGGTCCCCAGGTAGAGGCATTTTGTTCAAGAAAAATGACCACATGAAGATAGAAGTCTACACAGATGCTTATTGGGCTGGGTGTGTTGATGATCGAAGATCTACCTCTGGATATTGTGCCTTTGTAGGAGGTAATCTGGTCTCCTGGAAGAGTAAGAAACAAAGTGTTSTYTCTCRYTCYAGTGCTGAAGCTGAATATAGGTCCATGGAAAATGGTGTGGCTGAGATTCTATGGTTAAGATCATTACTTGAGGAATTGGTTATTGTTTATGAGAAACCCCTAATGTTGTACTGTGATAATCAGGTTGCCATTAATATAGCCCATAATCCAGTACAACATGACGGAACTAAGCATATTGAAGTGAACCGGCATTTTATTAGAGAAAGGGTTACATTTTAAGAAGTATGCCTCCCTACATCACCTCTAACATGCAGCCTACAGACCTTCTCACCAAGGCTGTTTCAAGAAAGAAGTTAGAAGAAGACCTATGCAAGTTGGGAATGACAAACATCTACTCCCAACTTGAGGGGGAGTGTAGGAAACTGTGGACCCCACATTAGTGTACTTGTGTGACAGCCTAAGTTGTACTTAGATTTAATTGTTATTGATTAGGATCAGCTTTCCTAGTAGGATTAGTTTTAATCTTGTTCTATCTTATCTAGGATTAGTTTTTAATTATCTTATCGTGTCATGTAAGCATTTAGTTCTTTTACAATTAGGAAACTATGCATGTAAATTCAAAGGGTGGGGCGGCTGTTTTATTACACCAACCACTCTCTTCTCTCAAAAGTCCTTCCACGAGTTCTCCCTCTCTATCTCTCTTATTCTCTTCTCCTCTTCTCTTCCTTACTTTTATTTTCTGTTCAAAATCTAAAGAATATCTGTAGTCTTGTACGACTACCGAGAAACAGAAGAGTTTTTGAGAACATGTCGAACAACATTGAATATATGGTAGTTGTAGTGACCAATCTGATTTCAGAATGAGTTCTCATACTACCAAATTTCGAACAAGTCTCTAAGGCAGATTTGTTGGAAAATTTTAGGAATACCCTTGAATTACAGTCTTGTAATATAGAATCCTTTTCAACTTGACGTTTTGGAATGTATGTGGTGTGTCAATTAGACAACCAAGGATATTAGGATGTAACTCTTTTTTATTTTAATGATTTTTTTTCTTGATTCTTCAAAGAAAAGCTTAGCCAATATGAGACCTTGGAGGAGGGTCAACACTTCTGCTCTAAGTGAGTTCCCTACACTAGTGTTTTAAAAGGCGTGGGAGGTGTACGTCTGGAGGCGCGCCTATAGGTGAGGCACCCCAAAACACCTTGAGGCATATGCCAGAGGTGCTGACACCTCCAAGGCATACACCTCAGGTGAAAGAGGTGTACACCGCATACACTTTTTCCATGAGGCGTGCTAGAGGCGTACACCTCATGCACCTCATGTAAAAAGATAGAAAAGAACAAAGAAAAAGAAAAAAAAATGACAGGATAGGAAAGAAAGGGAAGGGAAAGAAAAAGAAAGAAAGATGAGAAAAAAAAGAGAAAAAGAAAGAAATGAAAAGGAAAGGGAAGGAAAGAAAAGATAAGGGGAAAGAAAGTGGGCTAGGGACTAAGCCCCCAGACCCCCTTTTCAATGCAGCCCAGTTTGTTTTTTTTTTTTTTTTTTTGGTGTTAGGGGGGTCTTGCTTCACTTCGGCTCGCTCGCCTCCGCTTTGTCAAGACCCCCCCCCTTTTAACTAGTGATATGCGCCTTCATTCTTATTAGTAGTTACTATAAAAGATTTTTATTAAAAATAAAGAAAAATGAGATCCTCCTTCCTCCTCATCCCCCCTCCTCTTAAGTAGGCTTATGCCTCCCTGTGTTCGGGAATCTTATGCCTCTTACGTTCTGAACTACGTCTCACGCCTCTAGGTAGTGGAACGCCTCGTGTCACGCCTCCGCGTTTTAAAACATTCCTATTGGACCAGAATACATAGCTAGGAGTGCACCCATTAATCATGTTGAGATGAAAATATCTAAAGTGGAGAGGCGACCTACTGCAAATTTTCTTGTAGCAAAACCATGGCATGTAAAAACTTAGGTATCACTAATTTTAACTATGAAGACAAATCATAGATAAGTCAATCAAGACGATAATGAGTTCAAAAATAATGTTTGAATACGCAATTATCTATTTATTTATTTTTCATTTTCCAATCTCTAGTCTATGAAAGTATGCCCAACAATGGAGGTAAGTTGAATTTGAATATCATCAGATAATGCTAATTGGCCATTCTCTTTGGTTTTCCCTATTGATTTTTAGGTTCTTGGAAGAATACATCTAGTATTGGAGTACTGCAGAGGGGGTGATCTTTCAATGTATATTCATAAACACGGAAGAGTTCCAGAAACAACTGCAAAGCTGTTCATGCAGCAGCTAGGTGCAAACTTATTGTGTCTCATCTGGATGCTATTTTCTTTTCACTTAAATCTAGGGGTGTCAACGGTATTTGAAAATCCGATTTTGAATTCGGAAAATTTGAATATCTAATCAATTCGATTCGAATATCCTATTCATATCGGATAACTAATCGGATTCGAATTTGGATATGACATGATTCGATTCGATAAATATCTGAATTTGACTGATTATTTAATTCTTATATATAAAATATTTAAATGTTTTATATAATTTATATATAATAATTAAATTATATAAATAATTTATATACTTTAAATATATAAAATATTTATTTTATATATTTATTAATCACCTAAAATAATTAATTGGTCAAATTCAATTCAAACCGAATGGAATATTCGGATATTTAATCGAATTCAAATATTAATTTTCAATATCCGTCGGATATTGAATCAAATTCGGATATCAGATTTTCTAATCGGATTCAAATTCAAATATTACCTGATTCAATTCGAATTCAATCTGTTTACACCCCTACTTAAACCTGTGTTGTATGTTGCAAATGGATTCACGAAGTAACAATGCAAAGTTATGTCTTCTGCAGCTGCTGGTTTACAAATTCTCCGTGACAACAATCTTATACACAGAGATCTAAAGCCACAGGTCTGTTTTAGCCTTTCCTGTTATAGATTCCTATTCTAAAATAAGTTTACTGCTTTGGTTACATGTGCTTTTTTGGCATGGAAGCTCATTCAAGCATCATGAATGTTTTCATGGAAAAGATTAATTGTAATCTTTTGTTGTTGCTTTTGGGGGAGTTTGCACCTCGCAGCTCCCACTGTTTTCCACCTTGTTGAAAGATTATTTTCTCATGTAGTTGGTTTCTTGTAGAGATATTGCAAATTTTGATGAAAAATTTTATTCTCTCTCCTTCTCTATTGTTGTATATTAGCTATAGTATACCTAGGCAATTGTGTAGTCCTCCTGAAGGAAAAGTATTCCAAACTAGCTGGGTTTTGGTGCTGGGTAACAGGATAAGTAAATAAGAGTGCCCAGCCAATGTGAAGTGGTTGCTCTCTGTCCTTGTGTTAAATGACTTAAGTCCACCTCCTCATCCTTCCAAAAGGAAGAAAAGGAAAAGGAAAAGAAAAAGAAACACAATAAATAAATTCAAACACCCACACAAAAAGAAAAAAAAACACAATCACTAGTAAGAAATCATTTCTACCATGAATTAAAATCTTATACTTTGCTAGTTTCTCTTTTAAGAAATTTATAACTACAATGTGGTGGGTGGGGACATACTGAATACGGAGGTTTATTATTTATGACAAACTTTTTTCCCCTCTTAACTTTTTTGACCTACACATTCTGATGTGAATGATTTCTGTAACAGAATCTCCTTCGTTCCACTAATGATGACCAGTCCATATTGAAGATTGCGGATTTTGGATTTGCAAGGTAGATGTATTTTTGTTTGTGAAGACTATCTATATGAGTTAGGTTTGTCAATCACCTAACCTCCCAATTTGTTGGATTATGTGTTAGCCCTAATTTATGGTCTTTTTTGTTAGGAGGTCCTCTAGAATATGCTTAAATGTATTTTATTCTATGTTATATTCAGAAGGATGCTGCTGTCTATGCTAAGGGCTGTCATTTACTCTTAAAATTAAATCTTGTATTCTGATGCAGCATTCATCTTGAATTATCTACTTGCATAAATGGTAAATAGTATTCCAGGCATGCTCTTAGAGGTACGGACTTTACTACTGAGTTATTGGGTAAAGAAGCATGTAAATATGAACTGTTGTTTATGGCAATGGTTCTTCTACTGTTTCCATTTCCATTTCCTTTTCGTGAATTTTCTCTTGGTAAAAATAAGTAGAACTGTTTGATGAGTTTATGATATATGGTGCATGCACAATTTTCATGTTCTGTTATTTTTCTTTGACAAGAAAATATAATTTTATTACAGATAAAGAGGAATTAAAAGAATACAAGAAACATAAAATAAAGTGGAAGAGGAGGGAAGTTTTTCTCTCTTTATTTTGTTGGAGGGGTATGAAGAAAGGGAGGAGAGGAAAGGAATGGCGCATGTGAAGTTGCTAGAAGGAAGACAGTTTGGTGCTGAGTTGAGGTGGAATATAAAGGGAGTTTTCATTACTCAGGTTGAAAAATTCAGTCTTGGGAGGAAGCAGATGATTTGTTTTCCTGAAGGCAAGAAAGCGGAAGGCTGGGATGCAGTGTTAAAGGTTTTAAAGGATGCCGAGGCCCTAGGTAAAGCACAAATGAAGACATTGGAAAGAGATGAAGAATCACAGGTGAAGACCATCGAGAGGATGGAAAGTCAACAGGGATCAGAATGCATGGTAGGTGGGGGAAATATTGCCTTGACATAGGATAAGGACTGGGAGCAAAAATGAGTGATTCAAGCTAAGGATAATAGACGACTAGAAAAGGTTGCATAGGTGGTAATAAGAAACTCACACTTGAAAGGTACACTAATAGTAACCCCCTTTGAGAAGAACAAAACGTTGCTTGAATTAGTGGACGATAGTTTGGATTTAAGAGCTGTTAGTATTCCGATGGAGGCTAGTCAAGTTTTCGTTTCAAAGTGGTCTCCAATATCAAACTCGAAATCATTGAACTTGGAGAAGGGGGTAACAGTTTGTGTGCTGGGATTGCTGTTTCATCCGTAGAAGACTGAGGCCTTTACGACTTTGGCTTCTTTTTGTGGAGGTGTCTTAGAAGGAACTAGTAGGCCTTCACTTGACTGCCATGTTCTAGTGGGGGTGAAATCTAATGATATTCCTAGAGATTTCAAATCTTCACAGATGAAATCTTCTATTCAATGTGGCTTGTTCCTCCATTGAAGAGGAGCTGTGGAGGGAAGCATGTAGAGGGGGAGATGAGATGAGAAGTTTGAAGAAGATGAGTTACGTGGTGTGAAGAGATTGGGACAATCAAATGAGGGCCCGTTTGGCACGTCTTTCTGTGCGGTCTTTCGGCTGTTTACAAGCCGTGAAGACCGATTTTCGGTCTATTTTCGTTTGGTGCGTGGAAGATCTAGCCGCCAAAAGACGCGAGAAGCCCATTTTGGGCTGATTTCGAGAAGCTCCAAATGAAGCTTCTCGCGTCTTTTGTGTTTTAATCTCGCACGGAAAGACGCACGTCTTCCAAACGTGCTTTGGGCTGCTCAGATCTTCATGCAAAAGCTCAAAGCGTCTTTTGCATGTCAGAGCTACTAGAAGATCTTACCAAAAAGATGCGCCAAATGGGCCTTGAGTTTAGAAGTTACACAAAAATGGTGTTTGGTGACATAATTTTCTAGAAAACCAAAAGTATTACCACAAGAAAATAAAGAGGGAAATCTTGATAAAAAAGAGGGAATGAAATGATAAGAGGTTTTTTCCCAGCTTCAAGAGGTTTAAGACAAGGTGACCCCCTCTCCCGGTCTCCCCCTTCCTTTTTACCCTTGTAGTAGATGTGCTTAACAGAATTATTCTCAAAGTTGATAGGAATGAGGAGTTTAGGGGCTGGAGAGGGGGAGCAGTGTTGCAGTGACCCATTTACAAGATGACATAATTATTTTCTATGAAGAAAATGATTTGAGAAAGGTGGATAATTTGAAAGGCCCCATCAAGATGTTTGAAAGGGTTTCAAATTTAAAAATCAATCTGGAGAAGAGTTGTGTTGCAGGAATTAATTTGGAGTGTTCTACTACTAGTTGGCCTATGACTTAGGTCTCCCATTAGGTGCAAATCCCAAAGAAAGTAGTTTTTGGTGCCCAATTATAGAGAGGCATGCAGGAAGATTAGCGGGTTGGAAGAGAAGTTTCATTTCATTGGGGGGTAGAATTGCCCTGATATCAACTCTAACATACTTCTTTTCTACCTCTTAGTCTTCAGAATTTCACCAAGGTAGGCTAGGAAGTTGGAGAAAATTATGAGGGTTCTCCTTTAGGAACTAAGAGAGGGGGAAATAGATCATTTGGTTATCATTGGTTAATTGGGAGACGATGTCTAGAAGTAAGAACGAGGGGGGATTAACCATAGAAAATGTTAAGAGAATTTGGCACTTTAGGAAAATGGTTGTGGAGATGGCTGTTAGAGACGGAGAGGCTATGACATGAGGTAAATCTTAGCCTTCATGGCACTTAGGAAAATGGCAGGGATGCAGGTTTTTCTCACAGGGCTATGTAGGTGTCACCTTGGAAGGCAATTATGGCTGTTAGAGACGGAGAGGCTATGACATGAGGTAAATCTTAGCATTCATGGCGCTTAGGAAAATGGCAGGGATGCAGGTTTTTCTCACAGGGCTATGTAGGTGTCACCTTGGAAGGCAATTCGTGGTATTCTTCCATTTTTCCACAACTTTGTAAGGTATTATGTGTGTTCTGGGGACTCTGTTTGGTTTTGGGAAGATACTTGGCTTGGTAACAGTTCTCTCAAGGACCTTTTTCCTTCTTTGTTTGTCATCTCTTCGCTTAAAAAGACTCCAGCGTTTAGTTTTATTGCCCTCCCTTTACTTCCCTTGAGCCATAATTGGAACTTAGGTTTTTGCAGTGGGTTGAGGGATAGTGAATCTGAGGATGTGGTTAATCTGTCACATATTCTTGGTAATGCTTGTTTGGACCCTTTTAAAAATGATAGTCGGGTCTGGGCTCCTCATCCCTAAGGGTGTTTTGTTCTTGCGCTTCCTTCTTCCATTCTTTTATGCTCATCACCCTCTCCCCAAGCTTTTCACTCTAATGAAGCTTGGAGTAAACCAGTGCCCCCAAAAGTTGGTTCCTTTTGCTGTGAAGTGTGTTTAGGAAAGATTAACACTTTGGATAATCTGCATCTCTTTTGGGGGCATGCTGCCCCCGGCTTGTGTAGCACCTCTTGGTGTTTATCAAAAAAAGAAAAAAAAAAGAAGACATCTCTTTTCTTATCCCCTAACACAAATCCAACGGCGAGAGTTGTTAACACTTATTTATATCTTGTTCCTTTATTGCAGATTTTTGGGAATGGGCGTTCTCTTTATTTGGCTGCAGGTGGAATTTGCTAGCTGAGGTTAATGGTTTATTTAATCCTTTGTTTTGTGATATTTCTCATAAAAGGGGAAGGGAAGTACTATGTGGAGAAGCTTTTGAGCAGCATTGATTTGGATGATTTGGGAGGAGAGGAATGTGAGAATTTTTCTAGAGAAGGAGAGAAGCAATGGGGCAATGAAAGAGTGCATGTTAACTTGGGCCATTCTTTGGATGAAAACTTAAGAAAACATTTCATCTTTTACCTTTGATGACCTTTGGAGGAACTGGCTTGTGGTGACAAGGTGGCTACTCTAGGAAAGAATTAGTATCCTTAGGCTGGCTACCCCCTTGCAGAAGATTTTGTCAAATTGAATTTTGATGGAAGTAGCCAGGGGAGGTTACTATGGGGTTTTTTTCAAGCAGATGGTTTGGGAGAAGAGAATACCAGAATTTTTGAGAGGAAAGTTGCTACAGGGGAGGCTATTATTGGAAAAATCCTAGTGAGATGGTATGCTATTCTCAAAGAATTTGCTAGCGTCAAGCAGGACAGCTTAAGGCAATGGTGAAGCATACATTTTTATTTTTGCTTTCACAATGTAAGGGGGGATATATAAGCATATGAGAAATATAAAGGAAATAACTGCTTCTTGTAATCACATGTATACATTTAAAGCTTGAGGGTCTTTCCCTCTTTATCTATATTAATACAGTTTTAGATTTATAAAAAAATATTCCTATAAGTTGAGTTGCTTTGTTTCATTATGATGCTGGTTTGACAGTTTATCCAAGGCTCCTGCTCAAGTATTGTTTCAATTAAAATTGAAAAAGCAAAGTTTCATTTTTGCAGGTCTTTACAACCTAGAGGCCTTGCAGAAACTTTATGTGGTTCGCCACTTTACATGGCTCCAGAAATAATGCAACTCCAGAAGTATGATGCAAAGGTGATACTCAACTCTTTCCATATGTGTGATCTTTTCGAAATTCTTGTTCAAACTCTTCCCTAGCTCACCTTGAACTGGATACACAGGCAGATCTCTGGAGTGTTGGTGCTATCCTATTTCAGCTTGTAACTGGGAAGACCCCATTTACTGGAAGCAATCAAATTCAGGTTTCAACTTTTACTATTTCACATCTCAAACTCTGTAGTTAATACTATGATTGGAATTTTCTAGTAAAGTAAGCAATTTTGCATGCTTTCACTGGTTTCATAACCATGCAACCTTATTCCTTTTATTGAGCAGTTGCTACAAAACATCGTGAAATCAAATGAGTTGCGCTTCCCTCCAGATAATAATGATTTGAGTTCTGACTGTATTGATTTGTGTCAAAAGTTGTTGCGTCGTAATCCAGGTAAGCCTTTTTTTTCCTAATCTTTGGTCTTTTGTTTTGGGTACAAAATGGGCCCTTCTCAGACTCAAACCTGTATTTTCACACTTGTCAGCCTTAGAGTTACCATTGCACCAAGAATGAATGTTGTGATTGAAATATGACCCAATATCTATGATTGTTTCTAATTTAGTATGAACCATTAAATACAGGGTTTCAAATTTAGGATGAGAACCAAGACACCAAGTAGTTTATTTCTTTAGAACAGTATTCTTATTTTGATAACTTCTGTGCCAGTGAATTGCCATTTTGATGTGGTCAATGGAACGGGTAGAAATATTTCTCTATTGAGACCTCCTTCTCAATTAGAAGAGAGAATAAAAGATAGAACAAAGAAAAAAAATGTAACTTTCGCCTAGGTTGAATCTCCTCAATAGAGGATAGAATATCTATTTAATCTTGAGCTTGATCCATAAAAAACCTTATTCCATGTTAAGGTTTGTCCAGCTAGATCAAAGATCTGCTTCTCCACAGTGTCACCTGCAATCTTACTTGATGTGCTGAACTAGTGCTTCTGGGATCATCTCCCTCATCTTATTAACTTGTCACAATGAGGTAAGGTGGGTCCTCAGTGGTGGAAAGAGCTTGCAGTGAATCATTTGAAAATTCCTCTGCATATTATATCCCCATAGCCTCAACTTGTAAAACAAAAAAAGGACAATATGATGTTAAAAACCTTAGACCTACTGAAATGCATTTGAATTCTGAACTTTTATTATTTATGTATTGCTTAAGTGTGAAAGCGTTTTTATTGCTTGTGTTTATTTTTCTACAGTTGAAAGGTTAACGTTCGACGAGTTTTTTAACCACCCATTTCTTTCCCAAACCCAATCTGTAGATTCATTGAGGTAAACCAGACTCTCCATAGCTTCAGATCTCTTTCTGTTCATTAAAATGATGAAATCCTTGTTGATCTGTAGGAGTAGGATGGGTTCAAGGACAAGGGATTGCATCCCTTCAGCTGAATCTAGTCCTGGAAGGTACACAGAAGATAGTTCTCAAGATGATTGCCTCCCCTTCCTTTTAGATGATGATTGTAGTGGTCCAGATGGGATCCCTGCCTTTCCCATGAACAAGACTTCTATGAGGCCTACATATGGATTTTCTCTTGATACAAAAGTGGAAAAAAAGGCTCCAGTTTTCGATCCTCCTAGTAACATGGATATTGCTTCAAGATATAATAAACTCACACATAAACAGGAAAAAACTGGGTTCAAGGTTGATCAACACAGACATTCAGATGGAAACATCAAAGGTTCTGTTACAGTCGCAGACCAAAGACCGATGAAGACTGCATCCAAAGGTGCTCAGATTCATATTTTGTTCTCTAACCATTTTATATCCATATTATTTTACCAAGGTTCAAAATATGTTTTTTTGTAACTTTATATTATTTTTATTTTTTTTTTAAATTTCCTTGGACATTGCAGTTCTGGATTCACTGGAGTTCGATCAGGATTATGTACTTGTCTCTGGACCCCTTATGGAGGCCTCCTCACCATCACTAAGTGCATCCAGGCCACGTAATTCACCATGCAAAGTGGATAATCCCTCTTTATCATCTTTACAAAATGATAGTTCACCAAGTGCACCGATGCCAATTGTTGGAAGCTTGGAAAGCCATAGCTCTGTCCCGTCTGGTGCTTCACAAGGATCCATGGATATGGGAGATGCTTTGGAGCAGCCTTCAGCTAACTGCCTGACAAGGATTAGGTCTTTGCAGCAGTGTGCTTCTGCTATAACAGAATTAGTAAATGAGAAGGTAGATCATGACATCCCTACTTATTGCATCTTGTGCAATGAAATCGCAACATTTTGTGTCACCCAGACATTTTTGTTAGAAGTAAAAAAGAAAAGATAAATACAGTGTCTTCAGAACCAATGAACCAAAAGAATCTCCCATATGTGCCCTTCTCTCTCTCTCCCCATCTAAAAGGTTCCCTAATCTGGTAAATAAGGGAATTTCCCTATATGACCTGTCATATTCCTTCCACATGGAGTGATGACATAGCCAATCCAATCCATCCACCAAGTAAGGGCTTTCTAGATTTGCAACATAATCAATCATCCAGTCCACATAGGCCATGTATTAGTGGTTTCCATAAGTACCATTGTCCACCGAGAGTTTAAATATTTTAATATTAAACTTGCTCAAAAAGAGGGGTTTATTCTGATCACATGGAAATATTTTTTTTAGCTAAAATTTATCTCATTTCAGAGGAAATAAGGAACTTGTGAGGCTATTTTGGACCCCAAACCAACTTTCCAATGGAGGATTCATTTGTCCAATGCTTATGAAATATCAAATTCCCCTACTGTAGACCATGGTTTCTCAACATCATCAATTCATTTGCCCCTCCTAAGAGTGCTTGTCCAAAATATTACCCTTTTTGGGTGGTACATTTTGGAATCTAGTGTGTTTTGTGACTGTAATATATGGTTTACAGTCCAGGAGAAAGTCTAGGTTGGGCATTAGGATCTTCCAATCAAGTTGATGCCACATAGGGAAATCCTTTTGGTGGGATCCATTAACTATTACACCTTCCCCTGCATGTGTCCCACAGTAAATGTTGATTGTCCATCCTCAGTCAACTAGTGGGACACCTTCCATTTTCTACTTTGATGTGGTTTATTTGTATCGCTTACAGTTTCACTTTCTTTCGTTTTTTTTTTTTTTTTTTTCGTGCAAAAAGATTGAGGCAGGTAGGCAACTAGAAGCTTTCTCAATTCAGCTGGTAATTTTGGCAATTTGGAAACAAGCCCTTCATATCTGTCATACACAGGCTGCCTCAGCTGTAGAAGGAAGTCCCACTCAAGAGAGTAGAGTTATGAGGAGCACCAACAAGAGGCATAGTAATTTCGATGTGGAAGAATGTGCTAATGTCATTCAAGCTCAAGGGCCTGAAGCTGTTTACCCCCAGATTGAGAGGGAATTTCTCCTTGAAGTTGGGCATGCTGAGGAACTAGCTAAGGATCTTGAGCCAGTTGATGGTATGCACACATACCTTCCAGTATTCATACCATACCACCATAAACTTCTCATAATTTCTTAGTACTGATATTAGAGATGTTCCTCTTAATTTCCTTCTCTGGTTTTCTAATAATATTGTGGTTACAGGTAGCACAGAAATGCCAGATGCTATGGAGACTATATTCCAATCTGCACTTGCATTAGGCAGGCTTGGTGCTGTGAGTTTCTCTTTCTTTGCATCTAATGTAGAATATTGCAGACATTGAAAATGAAAATGCACAAAAGCCATGAACATTTAAAGAAATCACATATTTCTAGATCTGCCTCATGTACAATATTCCTCAGGCTGGAACCCATCCTAGGTCTTAATCAGTGTTTTCAATCTACAGTTGAAGTGGTCAGACCGGTCAACCTACTGCTCGGCCAGAATTCTAGGTCTGTTTCACCACTAAAGCACTGCCTACCAAAAACCATTGACTCACTACTGATAAAAAAACTGTTGGCTTGGTCAATGACCTGGTGACGTGGCAGTTTGAACTGCTAAACCATTTGACCTGGTCAGCGGGCCATGGGTTAGATATTAATTCTCTTTTTTTTTTCCTTTTTTTGCTTTTTAACCATTTTTATCATTATAAAAAATTCTTATTTATCACACTTATTTTTGTTTTGACATGATGAATGATATTAGAGATACACTCATTTTTTCTACACAATTTTCTGTAGCTTTTTCATTTTTTTGTATTTTATTTGTTTTTATATTGTTTATACCTTTCTTGGCCTTTTGGCTTAATATCAAACTATTTTTATATTTTTATCATTTAAGAATTAATTCTGATATCATAGGTTGACCTGTTTGACCCTGATGGTTGAACTGCTTACCTGCCAACTGAAGGATGTGGTTCTGTTTCCGGATTAGTTTTAAAAACATGGTCTTATTTGTAAATATGTTTAAAAAACTAGAAAATCTCTTAAATCAAACGAAGTCCCATTGCTCCTGTTCTAATTGGTAGGACTTAGCAAATGGATTGGTTTCAAATTGGATTTATTGCCATTCAGGTCAGTCAGATGATCAGATTTGGAAATTGTAAACCATAAATTAATATAAAAATGAACAAAATATTGTATTTTATTAATGAAATGGACTAGAAATAAATTTTGTATTGTATATGAATATATGATGAATAAAATGGCTTTAAAAATAACTTCTATGAGACTTAAACCTATGAATTGGATTTGGATGGATCCATATTTGATCCAATTATATGATTTGGGAAAATGTTTTCTTGGCTTGCTGGTCATAAGCTATTTAAGAATATAGGTTGTGGTTCCTTTTTTGTACATGACATGATGACAATCATTCTATAAAGCAGGATGGGGTTAAGATCTGAGAGGGCAGTTTTATTTAGTCCCCGAGTACATAAACTTTCTCTACGCACTTTTTTGTTCATATTAATAATTAATATAATCATACTTTATCTTCTTTCTCGCTCTCTCTCTCTCTGAAAAAAAAAGGATCCAATTATAAATGGAATGAATTTGGGTTGGATTTGAATTTGAGTTTTGACAAATGGATATAACTTGGAGCCCTACCATTTAGATGCGTTTTGGTGTTTTCTTTCCTTGAGGAAAAGCTTGGGCGTTCAATTATAGGTCCTGTAAAATGGTTTCTTGCTATATGTCTCCTCATGTCCAGAAGATAGGGATCTATAATATGGGTCCCACTTTGGAGAAAAATTGGGCAGAAAATCAGCTTGAGATACGACTGCAGTTGTGTATTTGCTATTTGCTACATACATTTGAAGGTATGTAGATCAGATGGTAAAAAGTCATCTGGTCTTGCTGATTTTTGGTATAGCACTCTGTAATGTAGGACCACTGGTGGTTATGATCTTATGAATGTATACCATGTGGCAAGTTATGAGGGCTCCAGACTGCTAGGCCACAACTTTCCATGTTTCTTGGTGTTAAGAAGGATACAACAGCTGATGGGCTTTTTTATATTTATGTGGCAGGTTGAGGAGCTGATGGGTGAAATGGAGAGTGCAGCAGCTTTGTATTCAAAAGCAGTACGCTTGCTCATCTTTCTTTTAGTGGAAGCACCTTCCCTTATCTTGAACCCTCCCTTCTCCCTCACAAGTTCAGATCGGTTTCGCCTCCAGACATATATTGATATCTTGAACAACAGACAGAGTCAGTCGAGGTCTCAAAGGATGGCTCTTCTCAAGTGTGAGGATCAACAGTGCCCACCCTGAAGTTGATGAGTTTCTTCTCAATATCTTGCCTGATGACTGGCAGTGTTTATATGTAATCATTTATTTGTACAGTAATTCTTTTGATGCCTTCAAGGTGCCAGTGGAAGGAGTAGACTTGTATTTTAGGATGGATAGTGTTGAAATTCTTACCTGTAATTCACAGAAAATTCACAAGATGAATGAAAAGATAATACAATCCTTATTTGTTGCACTTTGGGATATTTGCAGCATGTCTTTCAGTCATTGCCCGGGCATTCCACATTTTGACTAACAAATTATGACCAATATCGTAGAATTAAACCCGTCAATTTTACATTATTGAGAAGTTTGTTAGGAGACCTCTTGGATGTATGATGCCCTATCAAGGAAGTTGTCCAGTTGAGTGGTACAGGCTTAATGACACCCCTGGACTAAAAAGCCCGTATATAAAAAGGCGTTGGTTAATCTATAACAGAAAAAAAAGGCCTTTATTATGTTCTGTTGCCCTGATGACAGATGTAGATGTGAAAGAATCGAAGTTTCTATGTAGCAATTTCATGACTTGGATTATTTTTAGTCAATCTGAATTTTCGAGTTTACTTATTTTAATTTTTTAGTTTAGAGAAATCGTGATCGATTTTAGATGGACAGGTGAGGTCGCAAAGCAGGCTTCAATTGGGAGTTTTTTCTTTCACTTCCAGCTTAGATTGAAGTTTAGAGAGTTAAATTTGTTCAAGAGTTAATTAATTATTTGGTATAGGTTTGCAAAACTACTTAGATCTCAGCAGTCAGCGGACAACTCCCTGGGTGGAACTTAACGTGGCTTGGTGCTGTCCAGTGCTTCCCACGCACGTTATATTAATATTTGGGTTGACGGGTGCCATACGTATAATAATTATGCAGGAGGTGGGATCTGGTTTCTTAGCTGCATTTTCTACTCTTCTAAAGCCGAGATCTCCTCTTTTTGTGGAAGCTGAGGCCCTTCTTTTAGGGCTGAAGTTGGCTAGGGCTTTTGGGATGGTTCGTATTTCTGTTAACTCTGATAGTGAAATCATTATGAAGAGTATAACCTCTCAAAACTTCTTACCCCCGAGTGAAGTTTGGCCCATTTTACAGGACATTATGCTTGAAAAGAGCTCTTTTGTCTCTGCTGATTTCAATCATATTTCCAGAAATTTGAATAGCATAGCTCATTCATTATATGGCTAGTCCTTGTGTTAAAGGTGAATGGCGGTTTTCTCCTCCTTGGCTGTTAAGTTTGTATTAGAGTTCTAGTGTTGTATTTGCCTCTTTTTTCAGCCCTAATCAAAAGAAAGGTAAACAAGATCAGGAGAGGAGAGGACATAGTATGCCTTGCCCTTAAAACAACAAAATACACTATCTCACAAGCTCAAACCCTCCTACAAGAGGAATGAAACAAAGGATAAAAGGGAAATTAAGCTTAATTACAAAAAAGGACTCTTGTAATAGCTAGGCCTTGATTGTCTTGAACAATCAAAGTTCTCAAGTGGTCTATTAAGTCAAAAAGATAATTGTAGATAGTCATAGAACCTTTATCCACTCCCTCATTAGCAAGGCAATAGGCAATTCTGTTAGCTTCCCTAAAAGCATGATGAAATTCAATATTGATACTAGTTGAAATTTCTTTTATTTTGTTGTGTATATAATAAACAGACCAAGGAGTAGCAATATCACCTTTCATGATGTTCACCAAGAGTTGATTATTACATTCCACCTCTATATTGAAAAGAGACTTGTCCATGCAAAGTTGTATACCATCAAGTACTGCTAAGAATTCAACTTGAAGATAGTTGTTCACCTCGTAGTAGTTTGAGAAGGCACCTAAGACATATCTGGTACTATTTCTTATAATTCCTCCAACACCAACCGACCCAGGGTTGCCTCTTGAAGTGATGGAGGCCCATCACAAGGCCCATCTCACCCCTAGGGGCGGCAGCTCCTAGGATAAGGATAAGTCTAACCAAGAATCCAAGATTAGCAAGATCCAAGAAATCAAGATAGACCAAGACTCATCAAGAATTCAAAGAATCCAAGACTCATCAAGAATTCA